TGGGCGTGATGTGCTGTGGTATGGAATACCCCTTTGGCCAGTTTGGGTCAGGTGTCCTGTCTCTGCTTCCTCCCAGCTTCCCCTCCTCCCTGGCAGAGCATGAGACTGAGAAAGTCCTTGGTCAGCGTAAACATTACTGAGCAACAACTAAAAACATCGGTGTTATCAGCATTGTTCCCAGGCTGAAAGTCAAAAATACAGCACTGCACCAGCTACTAAGAAGGAGAAAAAATGACTGCTGTAGCTGAACCCAGGACAGTCAGTTAAATGCTTCAAACACTGGTTGGGCAGGTTTTGTTACAAAAGGCCCAAGTTGTTTTCTGGAGTTTAGCTGTGTTCACATTGTAGAGGCAGAAACAAAGGAGCTGCCATGGGAAATAATGAGGTTTCTCCAGCTGTGCAGCTTTATGAAGTCGAAAGAAAGATGGTGAGGCTGTGACGCTGCTGGTACTGCGAAGGACCTGGCACTGTAACAGGGAGCAGGACTTTACTATGCTAAATGCTGTGCAGCCAGAACCAGATGCAGCCCTTTCTCCAAAGAATTTACAAGCTAAATAGACAAAAGATGAGGGCTGTTCCTGCTTACTGTGCTTATGTGGGTACCTGGATGGTGCTGTGCTTCAGGTGTGAAGGGTTGTGGTTCCAGCCTCAGAACAGGGCTGGGTGCTGGTAGCAGAAAGGTGGTCACTCGCCTCTTCCTGCTTTGTCATCCATGAGCAGTATGAGGGTCACCAACAGCACAGCCTTGCATTGTCCAAGTTCTGTCCCAGGGTTTGCTGGTCTCCAACGTGGCTTTTCTCACTGGGGATAAGCTGAGATCTTTCCAGGCAGCAGATGCTCAGGTCCCATGGTTAAGCAGCACAAGAAAGGCAGTGGTCTTGGTGCAGTACCTCCCCCCTGCACACACTTTCAGTGTTCTCACCCACCTCACATTCACTGCCCGCAGGACCGTACTGGAGTCACTGCGGAGGTGCCCAGCCCATCAGAGGTGCTGTTATAGAGCTGTGCTGGTTGCTGCAGGAGGCAGCAGACTGCAGAACACGCTGCTGGGGGCTTGGCTCAGCCTGCATGGGCTTGCCTGTAACTCTTTGGCAGTGAAGAGCCACAGGTGAACTCTCAGCTCACCCAAGCCAGGCAGTGCAGGCTACAGCTTTGCAGCAAGCACGTTTAATTTCTCCTGCCTCTCCTGAGTTGGGAGAGGGTAGCTGTGGATTAGTCTGCTGCTCCTCCTGTCCCAGGCCTGTGTTAAAGACCACCGCAGCAGTGTAAGACCACACCTGGCAACAGAGGAGCAGTAAGGGCAGGAGACTCTGCTGTCCCTGAGCACTCTGCACCCTTCAGAGAGCAGGACATCCTTTGGGCGTGCCTTTATGAAGATAAAAGAGGAACAACCTTCGGCTATGAAGTATTGGTTTCTGAGGCTCTCTGCTACCTACCAGGGCAGCAGCTCTTCTTGGGGAGAACATAGTTCTTAGTGTGAGCTGCTCCAGTTGAAAGGGACAAGTAATGGAGGATTCAAAGAGGAAAAAAAAGGCAGAATTAGGGTAGTTTTGGACGAAGGTGACAGATACCACAGCTATTCACAGCATAGCTGGCCAGGCAAAGTCAGGAGTAAATTAATGAAATGAAGTTACTTAACCTGCTGCATTGTGAACCTGAGAGCGTGCTTGGTAGGTCTTGGAACGGCCTCCCAGAAGACTGGGAAGAAGCTGTGCTTTCTGAAGTTTTGTGTGTTTTAATAATAAAAACTACACTAGAGGGCATACCAGCCTCTACTTGAGCAAGCCTGGATCTATATGATCACACGAGGAACCACCCTTCTGCCTCCAGTGACTTACATGAAGTCATTTAAGAAGCCAAATTTGCAGTTAGCAGTCAAAGGTTTTAAAAGAATCACCACGTCTCTGCTCTCCCACCCTTCCTGTCAGGTCCAAAAGCCAAAGGCAGCCCCAGACGTGGCTGGTGCTGCAAGTACAGGGGAAAAGACTCCATTCGCTGCAATTTCAAATGACACTTGCTCCTGTAGGAAGACGGGCCTTCATTTAGATTACAGAAATACTGGGAGCCCTCTCTACAGGCGCTCTTGCTGGGTACAAATCTCTATTTATGATAAGGTGTAGCTGCTTGCAGAGTACTCTGAACATTACGGAAAGGAGCGTAAATACGAAATATATCCATGCCCACAAAATGAGTAAGCAGGATGACATGGAAAAATAAGATGGAGAACAGCAAGTGAACAGTTATGAAGCATGAGAAACAGACAGAAGAAACTTATAATCAGGCAAGATGGCCTCATGCAGACATCTGTCATAAGAGGATGCACATTTCTGACCAGCTGACTGCACCTTCAAAGCCTGGCATCTGATGAAGGGTACCACAGCTTTCAGTTACTGAAGTGCGAAGTTGTTCAAGTACTTCCCAACAAGAATTTAGAGATTCAGTTGTTGTCAGTTTGCCAAGAAGCTGAAGACCAGAACAGTTCAGTATGGACGGAGATATGACAGTGTAGTTGTAGACCAGACTGAAGGAATTGTTTCTGTGTTCACAAACATGCAGCAAAGAAGTGCTGGTGTCAGGTATTCAGTGATTCAGTGACATGAGGTATTTAGTAGTAATTAAGATGAGCAGCAGTCCACGGGACTAGAAGAAACAAGGACTAAAATCAGATAACCTGTTGTCAAGAGTCAGTTCCAATTGTTTTAGTTTTATAAACTGCAAACTGGAACTTGAATTAGGACACTGAAAACCACTGTTCCACAGATCCGCCTCCAGCACACACTGCTCCAGGTACTCCTGCAGCACCTTTCCCTGACAGCAAAGGGGCCATATGAGGAAGACTCCAGCCCAGACTGAAGTTTCAGGCAGGCACTGAAGTGCCCCAGCAGGACAGGACAGTGGTCTACACCTGATCCCCAGCACATATACCAAGGTGTGGTGCCATCTAACCAGCTCTGCCCATGAATTTTTAGGAACATGCAGCTCTATTAGTGTGGCTTCAGTGGTTATTCTGTACTTGACGAGCAGCTTAACCTGCTGTGGTGAGTTCCACCTGAGAACAGGATGACTAGGCATTAGTCCTGGGGTGAATCCTACCAGTGGAGACTGTTTGCCATTCATCTCCTGCTGGAGGTTCATCTCATCATAAAACCATGGAGTGGTTTGGGTTGCAAGGCTCCTTAAAGCTCATCCAGTTCCAACCTCCTGCCATGGGCAGGGACACCTTCCAGTTGACCAGGTTGCTCAAAGTCCTGTCCAACCTTGGCCTTATGTCAGTTGGCTGCTGCGTGCCAGCCAAGGGCTGCTTTATTTCAACAACTACAAAGCTGGCAGCACTTCATCTTATGGGATGTAGATTTTACATTTGGCAGTGATAAAAGTTGTTTTTACGGTAAAATATATTTGTTGTCAAACTTAGCCACGGGAAATCAGTCTTATCAGAGATCTGGACTGTGACCGAAGGACTGACCTCACTGCCAAGAGCAAAACAAAGCTGGGACTCTAAGTGCCTGGTACATCGCCCTGAAATTTTGGCTGATGGGAAAGCTGCTTTCAGATCAGAGCCACTCTCTTATCATCGAATGGACTACATAAATTTAAGTAAGCAAGCATTAGGATTTTGAACGCAAAGAACAAGGGTTTGAAACAGTGGGAACAGGTACAGCAGGTGGCAGAAAGCCCAGCACTTTTGCCAGGAGACTGTTCCATAATCAAGTCTTTAAGCTCACTTGCTTAGAACAGCCTGGGTGGCTCACCGCGCTTTTACCAAGGAGCTAGATTTGACTAACCACCAGGTTCTTAAAAGGATTCAAATGCACTCCTGCTGCAGATCTGAACTGACAGAAGTCTGTGCTTTTGGCAGCCCAGCTCTCCATACTGAAGGGGCTGAAGCAGCGGCAAGGGCCCACTTGGGGGATTAAAACACCCTGCAAGATTTACACTCCCCATCCAGCTGTTTGCATGCTCGCAGGTGGCTCTGTAACAAATGGTGGGTTCTGGCTTGAATTTGGTAGTGGCAAGTAAGAGACAGACCAATTGCAGGATGCACATATTCCTGACAGCCCCAAGAAGCTACCCCAGAACTTCACAGAGGAGGACTGCCTCCTCCCTGCCCACATCACAAACTCCAATCCATACACAACAGATGTGATGAATGGTGCAGGAACGAGGAGCACTGGGGCACAACCTCCACCCAGTGAAAGATATTTTTAGCTTCTAGAAGAAATTTACTTTGGGAAAGGTTCTAAAATAGCTTTAAATCTAAGCGCCTTATTGTAATGTAGTAATACAATTCTAAGAAATCCCACAAGTAATAAACAGGTTTGGGCCAGGAGCCAAGACATTTTTCAATACCTTAAGTACTACCAGCTCTTCGGAAATATGCACCAAGCTTGGGTGTGTAGTTTAGTTTTGTTGTTCCTGAAATGCACCCTTGCCCACCTCAGTATATGCAGGACTTTGTTTTCTAACAGTAGCACAGAAACACTAGCTGGAAGTGAAACTTCCTGCAATCCATGTGTAGGGAGAGTGTCAGATATGAGACTACTTACCTGCGTGGAACCAGACAGCTTTCAACGACCTGGCTTAAAAGCCAGCAAGATGTTACTCTTTGGTGCTTCTAGTGCACTGCATTAGTTTACCCAGAAAGCAGTGCATCCCTGCAACAACACCCAGGATTCTCCAGCACAGAGAGTTTAAGTGCTTAGTGTGTAGAGACCATGCAGCAAAACCAGAAATGCTTGGGTTTTTCCAGCAAATAAACTTAACCACATGCATCTCTCCCAACTAAATCAGAACAAAAGAGGTCAAACCAGTCTACGTTTTAATGGAAAAGGTCAATGCCTTAACTACAAAATATATTAAAATACTTAAGTTACCGTAAGAAAAACAACTGTTCTGAAGTTATACCTTTGTCTTGCGTAAATACCATATCTACACTTAAACTTACGCTTCCTTCATAAATCTTTGACCTGTGTAATAACATCTCACCTGACAACTTGACTACAATGCTACCTTTGCAACGACTTCACTCTAGAGAGTAGGGGACTGAATTAACTGCTGCTTGTTCCTGGTCTGTTATCTGCCTGCAAACGCTGCCTCTAGGCAACTGCTGCTCCTCTTCTCACAAAGAGGCTGCTCCCACCCGCATTATCCTGAACAGTGTATGAGAGTTGTTGCTTCTTATTGCATCCCGACAAGCACTGATCACTTGTGTTTTAGGTTTGCCAACTGTAAAGAAAAAAAAAAGAAAAATAAAGTAAAAGAAGAAAGCTTCAGTGAGTGAAACTGGTAAAAATACTTACTTGATCAAGTCTCAAAATTTAGGGGATTCTTTCAAATATTTTTAAACATACACCTTGTTTCTAATGCATAAATAAAATTCTTTCTTTAAAGAATTGTCTGTAGCTCTATTTTATGACAGCTTAAAGGACTTGTTGAAAAGGGAATGCCATAGACAAAAACGTACCTCCTTCCCCAAAAACTTATAGAGCTAGTAATACAGACAAACAGCCCTGCTTGATAGTTGTTTTTATTAAGCAACATTATAAATTAGGAACTTAAACACTACTTTAAAAAGTGCTTTTAAAATTGTGTTCAACAAAACTAGCAATTTCTATACCATCCAGAAAGCTGGAAACCACTTTGCACTGTTCTAAAATCATGAACCCAGATGATACTGGACACTCACAGGTGACTGTCACAGGCAATTGGCTAAGACTGAAAAGAATGAAAGATTACTTCTACTAATTTATTTTCAGGCTAACAAGCCTGAAGCCACTTAACTAACCCAGGTGGCCAAATCCATCTTCTCTGCCTCACCATGGTCACAGAGTCCACATTCCCTTCAAGCACACACACACTTACCACGTAAATGCCCAGCCCTCTGGATTGCCTGATTCACAGCCTTCAGGTTATTCAACAGCTCCGTGTGATTGTTGCAACGTATTTTGTATTGACTTACTAAATCTCTGTTAAGATCATACAACTCAATGTACCGTGTCTTCATGTTTTTCCTGGAGGGGAAACAAATCAGTCCAATTATTTGCATCTCTGGGGACAAGAAAGTCATTCCTGGTTTGTCTATATATAGAAGGTGTAGCAATACATGGTTGCAATGGCTACCATGGTTACCCACATGTTGGCCAGCTGTAAGTCAACAGGCTTGTCTACACATGTTGGTTATACTTATTTTTTATTCTTAGTTTTGCAGTTACTTTATAAGGCAACACAAAGAGGAGATGCCTCTTTCCCCAGTGAAAGTAACACTGCCCTGCAGTAGCTCAGACCTCTTTTGACAGTAAAGATAGGACATCTGCATAACACAGCAAACTGGAGTAAAAAGACTTGACACCTAAAATTTCTTTCTCTGTGTTCTCAAAAGTTCACACACCACAGAAAGCTTTACTGCCTTCCTCCCTCAGCGTCTCGTTCTAATGTATGTCACCATCCCAAGATCGATTGACCCCACGGGCTCTATGTTAAGCCCCTATCCTTGCCCTTTTGCCTTCCCCAGACTGGTTTTCCACCTGAAGAACAAGACAAGGCTCAAAGGGAGCTCATGTGGGACCAGCAAAGGAACCAATTTTGCATAGAGTTGTAACTAGGCAACCCTTGTATTACACAAATGGGGTTTTGTGCTCTTTCTGCCTGAAAAGCAAAGATTGGCTGTTCTAAACCCAAAACTAAGCAGCAATTGCTCACATGTCCCCCTGGCATCGTGCGTCTTCTGCCTGAAGCAGCATGCTGCAGATGAGTCTGGAGTGTTCAGCCATGTCGGCAGTGAGCCTCTGATTCACAGCATGGTGTTCATCCACCTGTCCGATGCAAACAGTCAGCAGAAAGGGCCCCCGGCACTCCAAGCATACAGGTAATTGTTCAAGCTAAACCTTGGCCCAGTGTATCAGGAAATAACACCCCAACTTAACCTACCAGCATCCCTGGGACCATTCTGCTTGCCCTAACCCCCCCTGCCTGCCAGAGCAATACCATGGGGTGATGAGACTGAGATATACACACCTTATGCCCTGACTCAAATTCACAGCTCAGTCTCTCAAACATTTTACATATTCTAAGCGATCAACTGGTGGTGACCAAGGGCTGAACAAACAGAAAACAGAGGCTGCCCCACTGTCCTTGGCACAGAATATACAGCAAGCCAGAGCCGGCTGATTTCCACGAAGACAGAGCAGTTTAGAGATCCTCTCAAAGTGACTGCTTAGCTGCCAATTTAGAAATGCCTGATACCTTCTCACCTTGACCAACACTTTTCGCAGCTCCTCAAAGTATGCAGGGAAATCTGCTTCCACCTGCAAATCTTCAATGGCCAGAAAGGAGGCCATGGACTGGATAATGTCACCAGCTAGATCAATATCATCAGTATTGATGGAAATCTGTCAGAAAGGAAAGAAAGCACTTCAGCACTCTTCTATGCCAAAGTATCCTGTAGAACTGCCCAGCAGGACTGCCTCTCAAACCCAGGCTCAAGGCAGCTTCATTCTATCAAGAAGCAAAACTGCTGCATGAGAAAGCTCAAGGGTTTTCAGTAGACAAGGAGACACTGAATTGAAAGGAGCTTTTATCCAAGCCTGGGGCAAAGAGGCATCTGTGCATACCAGACCAGTGCAAAAGTTACAAGCAGCCTCTGTGCCTCAAATTATGGCTCCCTGAAACCACTCTGTGTGGGAACAAATACCTTCCTACAGATGTGTAGGCTAAGCAGTTTTCTTCATTAACAGACCCTGGAATTTTACCAACTAAAAGTAAATAGACCCAAAAGTTTCCAAAAACATCTCTAAATCATTAGTAATTTCTCTGTCTGTTCAGTCATTCTTCATTTTTACTGCCTCTTACCAGCACCACCCTTAAGTTTCACTAGAGGATAATTAAATGGGTGTTCCCCTTGTTCGTGAAGGTACTCACCTCTCCACCAGGCTTGATTTTGATGCAGAGCTGACCTGCATTACGAAGGGAAGTGAAGCAAACCTGAAAGGGAACGCTCTGAAATTCCACATCCTCTGGTAGCAAGAAGCTCTGATTCAGCCACATTACAATCTTGCAAAAATATAATGAAGAGCATCAGCCATTATCTGTGTGGAAAGCCTGGAGAACCATGTGCTACCCCTGTACACAAGGGCCTTCTGTTCAGGGTACCTTTGAAACTTCATTTACTAAATTTCATCTCCTAAATCCATTTTTAGAATGAGAACAGTTGAATCCTTGCTCCAAAGCTGAATATTCCTAAGAAAATCAAATCCAACAACCAGAGACCATGGCCCAAGGTCAAAACATGAGCCCAGGCCTAGAGACTGGAGAAAGCTGGAAAGCAAGGCTTGCTTCTTCTGCAAGAATTTGAAGAGAAGTTTCATCTTGTTTTTGCTTTGGGCATTTAATGCAGTAAAGGTCATGTAAAGATGGCAGAGCCCTACAGTTATGAGGGAAATGACCAGCTTCAAGAACTGCGTTCCTGCAATTCAGATCCTTTAGAACCGAAGCTACAGCACTGCTACTCATCCGCTGTGAAACTGAGCCATTATCCGGGCACTGTACTGCCTTTTCCAGCTCTCTGCTCACTCCCATAATTCCTCGCTCACTACAGGGCTCCTGCACTGGCATTCCACCAGCTGTCACATAGCAAACAAGATTAATATCCGAAATGCCTCATGGTCTCAGGCCATTAGTTCCTGTAGGAATTCCTGAAGCAGGGAATGCCTCAATTGAGGTATCTTTTAAAGAAGGAAGAAAAAGCACTGAGACAAATTGTAATACACAAACTCCAAAGGCCAGCAGTGCAGTTCACTGCACAATTTTTTCCTTTGCTATTGGAAACGTCAAGCTAACAGCAAACCCTCCACCTCCCCAGGAGTTAAAAACAGGAAACAGAGCAGAAACTCACCCTTTGTGGCCTCTCGTTCATAGTACAGTTAACATAGCTCAGGGGCTCTGTGGTTGAGTCCAGGCTGCTCAGGGCGTACATTGAGAAGCGGGGAAGCTGTCTTGTCAACTCAAATACATGGTACTGTGTGCTGGAATCAATCCAAAGGGAAAACAGAGACAGTTACTGACATACCAGGATTCACCTCCATAGGTTGCATCACCTCAACAGTTCCTGATTCCTTTTAGCTGGCTACTGACAGCAACAGCTTTCAGCTACATAATCAGGTGCCTACCATTTCCCAGGAAAAAAAAACACTGGAACTTGGAAATTCCAGGCTTATCGCATCATGAGGTTGAACAACTCATCCCCATTGCTTACACTTTCCATAATCCTTCCAATGAAATATACTCTCTAGGCTAAAACATTTATGATTTTACAATGTGATTGGATATTTTTTTTTTACAGGTTCAGTGAAGTCTTTTACTAGAGGAAATAATAAAGAGAGATAGAGAAAGTAAAAAAAGAACTCAGTCCCATGTCTTCTTTCTGCAGTGGTTGGCTAGCTGTCAAAACATGCCTCCCTGTTCAGAGAAAGGATGCTGCTTCCTAAGGCACTGCTAGGTCTGGCAAATGTGAGCAGGGACAAGTTGGTTTCAAGTGCATATGAAGAGTCGTTTTATTTCTACAGAAAACTGGCAAAGTGTTGGCTTCAAATCAAGCATATGGATGGTACTTCCCATTTGCTCTGAAAACAAATGGGTTCAGGGTTACTTTGTAGCTTGAAAGACACCACTGTGTCTCCAGGCTTGCTCAAGTACTTCCTCCAGAGAAGCCACCACTCGGGCCTGGACAGGCAGCCACTAAAAGGAGGCAGCCTGGATACAGCCTCTGCCCCACTGACTCCCTCCAGATACCCCCATAAGGCATCCCCCTCAACAACTACTCACTGTTCCCCTACAGGTAGGGCAGGTCCCAGTGACTCCAGAGCATTTAGACTTTTTCTGGAAAAGAGCTCAGCATCAGAGGTGCAACAGTGTTTTTAAGAAAGCACTCCAGCTCTCCTTCCAGTAACACAGAGAAGTGGGGCATCAGGCAATTAAAGGTGCACTTCACACAGGATAAGCACGAAGTCATATCATTGCTGTTTTGTGATCACAGACTTGGCTCTGGACCAGCACAGATCACAATACAAAACTCACCTGTTCCTGTAACCCACAAAGGCTTTGATGTGCAAATCCACAGGAACATCCTTGGCTGGAGTAAGTGGAACACGAATACAGCCCGAGAGATTCTGGGGACTGGGGTGTACCACATGGCTCTCTCCTTCAAATATGCCCTCAGCAAAGATCAGCACAGCACGGATGATTGTGTCTTAGCAACAGGAAGAAAAAGCAGTTCTTAAATTAAAAGCTGTCCTCTGTCAACAAATGACCGTTTTCAGAATTAAGCATGGTCAACTCTTTACACCCCTCCTCTGAATAACACAAGTGACCAGTGTTATCACATCTAGACCTGACCGCATCCTCAGCACACATGGTGCTACATGAATTTCGTATGTTGGGGTAGTTCCAGTTTTGCACGTAAAGGCAGCTGAGGTCCAGCTGCACTTATGCAATACCCTCACTAACACAGGGTTGATGTTTAGAATCAACACAAGGAGTATTGCAGGGATCACCAAGACTCTTTCATCCAAGTTAAATGTTAACTGCCTTGGAAAATAACACATAACAAGAATCAAATTCCACCAAACTCCTCTCCCCTTAGACCCATCAAAACAACACAGCTTGACTCAAAACTCTGCGAAAGGAAAGCAGCCACAAAGGGGATACTACAGACAATAAAAGGGAGACAGGCAAATCATCAGCTAAATATAACTAAATGTTTGCATGAATTTACACGAAATAAATGTCAATGGCTGCAGGTTACCACTCACCATTTGTGGTGGAAATACACAGCTCCACATGGGCAGACCGGCTGTCAGAGCCCAGATTAACCAAGAGGGCTGTCTGGAGTTGGGTATTTGCTGGAATCACACCTCTCTGCCCATCTATTTTCTTAGTGTTCAGTTCAGCCTGTTGCAAAACATACACTCTTCAGTATCAGAATGTCAAGATTTTCATTCAAGCAACCGAGGAAACATTTGCGTAAGTCAGTCCTCTTTTCTTGCAGGAGAAGGTTGTGTTACAGCAATTCCCAGATTTCACATAGCTATGCAGAGCAACTGGATTAGGCATGGAGCTGTGGACACTTGTGCTACAATCTGTTTCAAGTGTTTTACTGTCAACGGAGCTCAGGGTCTGTTCTCAAACTTTTATTCAGAAAGCACTTAACACCTGTTCAATTCTCAGTGCAAGATTAACTCCATGATTTTGCTGTGGTGGTCTTTTACTATTCAAATATGAGTTTGTGCTTTCCACAGACTCTTTTTTGAAGCTCTTTATTCCTGTGCCTTCACCATCAAACCACGAGTGTGCTTCCCACACTCCGGCACTGCTGCCAGCTATCACCCAATTACCTGATTCTCTCACACAAGTCCCTCTGACCCCCTGAGTTGGCTTATGCATTTAAAAATACAATTTTCCGTCATAAGCCAAAGCACAGGGCTGGAAAGAATCCAGCTCCAAACACAACTGCTCTGGCAGGACGAAGGAGCAAGGAAAATGTTACTTACTAAAATACAAAAAACAAGTTCTGAATTTGCACAAGGAGCAAGCCAAATGCAGAAGGAAGCCCCAGTAGACAAGCTTGCTGCATCCCAACAGGTTACAGCTCTGATTTGTTTGGACCACCCCACAATCGTTTCCCAGATTACTGATTTGTTAACAACAGGAAGATGTGTTTTGGCCCTACGCCTTGTTTAAGTATACCTTTGCACTTTCCTCATAATTTCTTAATTCCAGCAGCAGATTTTGTTTCTTTTGACTAAGTTCTCGGATCAGATCCTGCTCAGCACTTGTATCCATTAGGTTTCCTTTCATCTCCTCACCTCCTGGCAGATAGCCTCGAACTGGACAGAAACAAAAGAGCACATTTCAGCAAAGCTTTTCACAGCTTCCCCAAATCTTTCATTTCTGTAACAAGACCGCCTTGTACCATCTCAGCAGCAGACACTAGGTCTGGTCTTCAGCTGAAAACCTGAGCGTTGACGTACACCCGCAGAGGCTCTTGCTTTCCAGATGGCCAGGACAAGAGAACTGTGCGTTCGGTAAAAGATGAATTTCCAACCTGCCTTTAAGCTGCCTGACCAGACAAGCGCAGAGCCCAGTCCTTTTGCCACAGGATTCCCACTGCAATCATTCTTTCAGGTGCTTAGACAGGTTTGCAATTATGCTAAATTAATAAAATGTTTACCTGTATTTCTAGAGCTGGTCAGAGGAGTTGCTGCTGTCTGGAAGTGACTTCAAGTCACTGTCAGTAAGCTGGTGGTGTCAGCCATGGTATTTTTTCCCCCAAATCAAGGGATACTTCAAGGGGTAAGGCCTTGAAGTATCCCAGTGGAGCAGAGCTATGGAAATATTTCCAACTGCCTCTGGAGACAGAAGAATTGAGCAGATGAGACAAAAGAGCTTGCTAGAAGCTTCCATTTTGCTCTAGGGTTGTGTGATTTGATTGCAGCTGACAATGAAAATGAGAGACAAGCGTCTTATACCTGCAAAGAGTATGCTGCCTGACTGCATATGACTGCTGCTGCCCCATAAAAAGTTGTAGAGAACCTGAAAAGCATTAAAGCATTCAGCATGCACACTGTCCTCCAATGAAAGGACCTGCTTTATTATTTCTGAGTGAATCATTCATTTAAAACACAAGAAAGAAAAAAACACAAAAGAACACCTCATGTGGAAGGATGCTGGCCCCAAAGAGAACTCTAACAACAAGGACTATGAGAATGCATAGCCCAACAACTATTTAATACTATTTTACTATTCAGTAACACCTAAACACTCCAGCCTAAAGGGATCCACAATGTGCCAAGTTTGTTTATGACAGACTCGTCAGAAAAGGATGATCATGTTCAGTGATGTTAACCTACACAACTCTGCTAGGACAAGGTATCTTCAGAGTCATACAATATTCCCCTTCTGTAAGCTTGGGAATAAGGTTTATACGCTGAAGACCAAGTGCAACAAATCCCCACAGCCTGTGATTAAGACAGGCAGCAAAACACTCTGCTATCTAACAAGGACGGGCTTTTGTTCCAAATGGGCTGTGCCAGTCCCACTTGTCTCAGGCCACAGATGCCAAGCTGTCAGATAATCACACCAGTATCTTTCCTGAAGCCATCCCTGTAAATTCAGGCTGAACTTATTCAAATAATCGATGATCATATTTGTTCCCACTCACAGTAACCAGGTTTGACTTCTTGAATGCATGGTGGGATAAACCCACCAGTTCTCCAGTTTCAGGATAGCATTTTCTAGGGAGCAAAGCACTGTTAACATTTAAAATTCCTCACAGAAGAACTATTCTAGAATAGTTCATAGAACAACACACACAACTCATGAGCTCTCTAAACACCTTTAGCCACTGTAAAGCAACCAAAGAATTATCACATATAGGCAAAAAGATACTCTATATATTTATCTATAATAATGTTGACTGCAGTTATCTTTGCCTTATTAGGATGGGACTTTTTGCACCAGGCAAATGAATTCTGATGCTTCTTAAATCATAATGAAACTCACACTGATTATCACAGGGAAGGTAATATTCAAAAACCTGTTTGCAGATAGCATAACTCAAAATTCCCTTAACTTCACATAAAGTAAAAGGAACTGGGCACACAAAAATGTCTATGGAACCAAAACAACATTTACCTAATTTGAGATAATGCGATGTGCCTGATATTATTGTGGATTAAATTAATAACCTGAACAGTGCTCTTACTTTCACCATCAACTGAACAGCAGATTAACTGGTTGCTCCCATCCATTCTGTAATCCCCCTCCACCACTCCTGCAATTGAGGAAGCAAAGTTGTCCTTAAAGATAACCTCCCCAGTTCGGTCATTGCGTGCATCAACCTGGAACAACAAAAGAGTTCCAAGACACATCAGGAATAGAAAAGCTAACTTCAAAACAGATGCCATTTTGGCATATGGCTGAGATGCCGTACTCTGAGCTGTTAACCAAAAGCCAGCTCTGCTCACAGAACAGCAGGTGAATTTGCAGCTCTACTGATCATGACCTCTAGACAGACTCAGCTAGAAGGAACTGCTCTTCAGAGGTGCTTCCCTATATTACAAACAAGAGGAAGCAAAGAAGAGGACTGCAAGTCTGCACTGGCAAGGTTATGCACATATGAATGCAGCAATGATGGGACTAAACCAGAAATAACATTAATGCAGTATTTACAACCTCTCCTCTCAGCTGCAGCCCTTTGTGTATAAAAATAATTCACCACACAATACACAACCTTTAATTATCTTCCACTGAAGAAGAAAGAGGGGGGCTCACTTCTGTGTTGTCTGTCTTCTTCCAAAGCCCAGGACCCAGCATTACTCCTTCTAGGAGCTAGGGACTGTTTCAGTCCAACAAGCAGGACAGAGCCTGCCAGTGGAAAAGAACAGAAAAAGGAGTAAAGGAAGGAGAGGTTCTCTCTTTAACAATGTTATAAACCTAATCCAGCATAAATTACAACATATCTGGGCTCTAGACTGCCATCTTGATACAAAGTTAATTAAACTCTCCCAAGCTAATAAGAATGAGAGGTGTGAAGGAAAAAAAGCACAACTTTACCCAAAAAAAAAAAAAAAAAAGAAAAGAAAAATATCCTGGTAAACTGTGTTCAGGAGAGATATGGCAGCTAGAACAGTCATTTCTGGCGAAGGGGAATACCAAGCAACAGGATTAAGAGACTAAGACTGAGCTCTATAGAACGCCTTCACATAAAATTAAATAATGCTTGATTAATCCTGCACAGTCAAGACTGATGCTGCTCTCCTGTTACATAACTGCTTTGTCTTCCCTGTGTTTGAGAAACACCCCAGAGGATTATTAGCATGTCCTCAAGACACAGCTGAAGAGACACTCAAGAGCTCTAGTATGTGGTATATGATCTTTGATGCCATAGAAACAACTTACCACACCTTAGCAATCGACTCTGAGCTAAGCAGAGGAAGCAGCTTTTCTCTGATCTTGCACTTGGCACAGGATTCACCAGACAAACTAGGTTTACTGCAATAGTTTTTCAGTGTTGTTTTCAGCAATCTTTTTAATTTTTTGGCTGTTCTCCTTCAGATAATTTCACAGCCTTGTTCAAACACAGCTTCCAGATTTACAGCTCTTCATTTCACCCCTATATAAACTCACCTTCCCATTGGACCAGCCAGTGATCAACTCAGATACACCATCAGAGTTCAGGTCAAACGCATGTATACTAATCGCTTGGTTTTTAGACTGAGGAGAAAACACAAAGAACACATTAATCTCAGACTGGTTTGGGTTGGAAGAGACCTGGAAGATCACCGAGTTCCAAGCCCTGGCCACAGGCAGGAACACCTTTCACTAGACCAGGTTGCTTTAAGCCCTGTCCAAGCTGGCCTTGAACACTGCCAGAGATGGGGCAGCCACAACTTCCCTGGCAACCTGGTCCAGTGGAAGGTGTCCCTGCCTGTTTAAGCCACCACCAGCAGTCCAAAAAGAACTGAAGAAACTTGACACAGTATTAATTTTGCGTGTATTTAGAAACATAGTTAGATTTGGTAAGACCAAAATTACATTAAGTTCTGTGCTCAGCAGAAGATTTAAAATTCATCTAAAGGAGTCAGGATAACATCAGAACAACTCGAGACAAGGTACCAATCTTCCAGCAGCCTTCAAGTTTTCAGTGATGTTATTCCAACACCAGACTAACCTTAATCCTCCAGTAACGGGCTGCCTTCTCATAAACCCCGACTGTCCCATTAGAAAGAGCATAGCCGAACCAACTGCCACACATGGGGCTAAGTGCAGTAACAGTCTGTGAGGGAAAGGAGGGAGTGAGGATACAGGAGTGAAAACGTCTACAACTAAAGTAACAGAGAACAGATCATACAATCTCTCCATCATAGGAAAACAATACTTAATGGAAAATAAGTCTGTTGTAGGAATCATTGAGTACTGACGCAACTGTTTTTACTAATCAGTTTGAAATCACCAAAGACCTGTAGGATATCCTCACACAAGCTGAATTACCAGTATAAAGATACACTTCAGCAAAGGTTTGCAGAATTGTCTTCAAACTATGTACTTTGTCCAAGTATCTCCTACAAGCAGCAACACAACTGCTCATAGGATTTCTGTGGTCATCACTGAAAATCTACTCCAAACACACAACACTCCTTAAGCTTCAGGAGCTGAGGATGCCAAAGAGTTTAACTTTACATGGGATGGGAAAGTCCTAGAGACATAAAATCATAGAATAGTTAGGGTTGGCAAGGACCTTAAGATCATCTAGTTCCAACCCCCCTGCCATGGGCAGGGACACCTCGCACTAAACCATGTCACCCAGGGCTCTGTCCAACCTGGCCTTGAACACTGCTAGGGATGGAGCATTCACAGCTTCCTTGGGCAACCCATTCCAGTCCCTCATCACCCTCACAGTAAAGAACTTCCTCCTTCTATCTAACCTAAACTTCCCCTGTTTAAGTTTCAATCTGTTACCCCTTGTCCTATCACTACAGTCACTAATGAAGAGTCCCTCTCCAGCATCCATGTAGGCCCCCTACATCACTGGTAGAAAATCTTTGCGCAAGATTAGTGAGATGGAAGTGCACAGCTGGACTTCCCTGGAATATAATTAGAACATCAGGCTAAGTATTACCTAAGTAACAGCTCCAGGGAAAGACCTGAGAGTCATAACTTGGTCTGCGTCTTGCAGGCCGACTTAAGATCACATCACCTTACAATTCTTCATTGCACTAAGACTCTCAGTGCTTGGAAATGCAGGTTTTTCCATGCACTAAGACTGGAGATTTTAACGTAAGGAGGAACAATTGCAAACATCTGTCAGGTCTTTTGTACAACATAGTACAGAACACTTCTTTAAATTAAATCTTTCACTAACTTCTTAATTAAACTCAACTCATGATGCTCCTTAATTTTCCTACTATAAAACATGGTTTCCAAACCTTTACCTTCCCTCTCTCCATCTTCTCCAAAGACTTTCCCAAGCTTCATAACCCTCTAAATTTTCAGCACCCAGTAAGGACAGAAGACCCCAGCAACAGTCAGAAACTCACAATACTCCCTTTATATCTGACCGTCCATTTATAAATTCAATAATCACAACAGTCTATGGCTTCAGCTTCACCAGAGTAAGTTAAAACAAAGAAAATGCGAACTATTCAAGCCTTTCAAAACAAGCACAGTGTACAAAGCCACTGTTCCCTGAATTTACCGTTCTAAAAGGAAAGGTTTAGGTGCAGCTGTGTCCTTTTAAATTAGGTCAGTAGGACTCTGACAGGCCCCCTAAGACTCTGCAGGTATGAATTTAAAACCATTCTACTGTGGATCTGGAAATAAATCACACATGACAGGGAAGGACCTTTAGCTTCCCTTTAACTAGAAATCACACTATGACTCTACTGTACACACAGCAGAATGTACTATAGGCCCAATGTGTTTTACAATGTATTACTAATTCCAACTATAGCAACAGCTTTCTTTCCTAGGATTTGTCTTTCATAGCTGTTCATAAGTGGCTTAATAGATAAATAAGCCTTTTTAGTTCCATCTTGAGCAACAGGGAGACCTCAGATCTTTAAGGACAAAGGTCTGTAACAAGTCATTACTCTAACCTGAGCCAAGAAGAGCCAAAAGAAGAATAAGCAAACTCCTAAAGGCAATGATAATAGTACTTTTCTCCCTTCCAAGCAACCAAAATTTAACAGTGAGGATCTTCTCTCAGTCATTAAGCCAACAAGCAACTCCCACACCTTTTACTAATCGCTCTGCTCCTCTTTCTGCCCCATACTTTCCTTTAGGATCTGCAGCCCTGTTTGCGTCGGCACCCTCTTCTACCCTGCCATGCTCTGTCTGGATACACAGAGGGGCAAGTTACTTCATTGTGATTGTGTCAATGCATTTGAGGAAAAACCTGCAGAAGACATTCTTTTGCTCAGACGGCACTAAGAGCTTCAATCACAATCCAGAAACCTTAATCACCGTTCCACAAGACCTTGACTTTTAGTCAAGCTGCAGTTACTTTTCTCAACCTGGAGAAAAGTTTGTAAATAAACAAAGCAAAAAAAAAACCAAACCTAACCACCAAACCTATGCATAATGAAAGACATTATCAAACTCTAAACTTCCACAGTTCTAGCAGAATAGGTACTGTGCCAAATAGTTAACTAACTTCACAATAAATTTGAACCAGAGAAGCTTTACTATACTCAACAGTTTCGCCTCTGCCAGCAATTATAACAAATATTAGTGAGAAGTAATTTACCTCTGTCTCTGACATTTCTGCCACAATCTCATCTTCTTTGAACACCCGGATGTCGAAATCTTCAGAGCCAACAAGAAGCTACAAAAAAATAGTCTACCTTAAAAATAGTTATTCGAGCTAAGGAAATCAAAAGGACTTACATGCCCAAGGGGGAAATAAAGGTCCCAAGTCCAGCAACAGAGAGGTTTTAACAGCTGTATGAAAATTACCAGTAGAACAAAAGGTACCCTCTATCAAGACACCATTTCAGAAGCCTCCCATTGATCAAGTATTAGTTATTTCATGTGTCATCAAGCTAGACTCTACAAAAGCACAGTGAAATATCTGGGGTAGAAATGAGAAAATATACTTAGGAACACCAGGGCTATGCTCTTTTCTTACTGTAAAAGACTGAGCGTTCCAATTCCTAACTGCAGCTTTACACATCAAAAATACTATGTTGCCTGTTGTCAGAGCAGAAGACCTGCAGCTCAATTCTGACTTGTACTACACTGTTTCAGAGAAACAGCAATTCACAATTCATAGCCAGTGATCAAATAGCTGGGGAAGAAAAATAACAAAATCATTGTTTAGCACTGAACACACCTCATTTAAATAAAAACTCAAAACTTAAGAATCTAAGTATCAAACCACTGCTGCTCCTGCAACCAAAACGGTGGCTGCACTACTGAAATCATGGGTAAAATGGGCTTTAACTTAGCATGAATGATTATGCAAACAGGACATCGACACTAAGTTGGGTCTTCCACATTCTCATTCCTTATTGTTTCTTACATCTTTGTTTTTTCCTATCTCCTAGTTAAGCAGGTAGATGTTAACTGAAAAGGAGCTCTCTGGAAGAGCTCTTTCTAAAGATGGTGTCAAGTCATGGCTTCTATTTTGCAAACTGAGAAACCAAAGAACAGATCTGCTTAGTGCCTTGCCTATAAAGTCAGCCATCAAATCAACAACAAACAACTATAAATCAAAGTTTAAAACCTGGAAGTACCTTGCCGACTGGAACTGATGACTCTTCAATCTTTACTTGGCAGAACAGACACAAATCCATACCAAAGTGATTTCTTTAAAAGATTAAAGGCTTTTTTTTTTTCTCCTTCCAAAGTAAAGATGCTTCCAATTATGATAAACTAAATTATACCAAGCTGAGGTTACTATAGCTATTGAAATAATTTACAACAAATAACATATATAAGAGGTACAAATTTCTTGACAAGTCGCAAACACCAGCAAAAAATGACCAGCTAAAAGCATGGCATCCTGAAACAGTTACTGGTGACGCTGCATTTCCCAGAGGAGCCTAGAAGATGGGGGTTTAATTTAGTTTGATTCAATTCGTCCACCTCAGTGCCTTTGATTCCACTAGACTGGAATTTGAAAAAGCAGGGAAAAAGTTCTTCTCCAAAAAGTCTTTGGCAAGATGAGAGGAATTAACCTGTACCAATCTAACATCCTGAGAAAGAAAGTGACTACAATAAATTGTTTTTGTCCATTACTAAATAACATAAGTATATTCATGCAGTTTTAAAATCAGTCCATTTTAAATGTAGACATGTTTTACTGGGGTGGGAAGAACAGAAATTAAGCTAGCACACCATTTATCAGAAAACACACAAAGTGACAAACAATTTAATAAGATGTTTCTGTGCATTTTCACAGAACTTCAATTTTAAACCAGGGGCAGTTTCACAAAAGCCACAAATAAAATAAACTTAAAAAAATAATCACCTAGATAATTAAGATTAAAAAGAACCCTAAAAAAATAAAAAAATCAGCAAATGCATGTTTGGCTAACTGGCAGGTTAAGTTAGCTGGATAACACATCCAACTCTGCTTAGCTCAAAGCAGCATCGCATGACACCACCCACTAAGAATGAACCTTTCTCAAGGAGAAAAGAATAAAGTATCAAAAAAGTATTAAAAAAAAAAGTATCAAAAAAAAGTATTAAAAAAAAGTATCAAAAAAAAAGTATTAAAAAAAAGTATCAAAAAAACCCCCAACTTAGAAGCACAAGTGAGAAACATCTACAATTAGTGCCACAGATCAGTTTCCTGGTTTCTGAATCTTTATACGCTATCTCTACTGTCTGTAACTACCTCTCAGCACACAGGAAAAAAATACACCCTAAGAGAGGCTGTGCAGGAATAGACTGGTAAACCTGACTTTATTTACTTCCTAAAGATCCCAATCAAGCAAAGGGTGTGTTTTAGTAACACATAAGAGATGTCGAGGCCCTTTACATGTCACTATAAATACCACAGTCGAAGTAAACACTCAAAATCAGGATTTTGGGAGAAATAAACAGAAAAGCTTAAGTAATTATGACTAAAATTGAAGGACAGCTGACAAGTATTTTAGTATTTTTAGCATGGTGATTTAACATCATATTTACTTGTATCTGGCATATATACTAGAAAGCCATCAATTTCCTTGAAGATTCATATTTATAAGCATGATTCTTTGATTCACTCAGGATGAAAGAACATTTACAACAGAGAATACCATAGAAATTCACAACTTTATCCATCATCCCTTGCAGCCTACATGATCAGAATAGCAGCTATTTCCTACTTATCAGGAAGATGCTTGTTACACATTATTTTCATTTTAAAATCAGAAAAGCAAAGAATATTTCATTTCCCCATGTCACTATGAAGAAAGGGGAGAACTGGATGTGAAGATGGATTTCTTGATTTTACCAATCATAAGGAAGCTCTTCGCAGCACACATTTTTAAGAGCTCATTTTTACACATAAGATGCTCGCAAGTTCTTTATCTGAAACTTGAAAAAGTATTTAGAACCATATTCAAGAAATACCACTGGAACGCAATGCCTTGCAATTGATGATCACGGGCATTTCAGTGTATTTCTCCTGGAGTAGTTAAGGAAAATGAGAGCAGCTTTCCATTACAGCTAGCAATCGACTCACCAAAGCAAGGCAGTAATGCTGTAAATACCCCATCTATGCCTAGTTTTACACACTCTGAGTAGTGCCAGAGACTACTGTTGCTCTCTAGACATGGGCTAAGCATTTGTCTTCACTGGACGAGAGGCTGCAAAAGCCGTAACTTTCATGCAGGGATCACTTCAACTGGTTATGTAAGTCAGTCATATTTGATAACCCATGGGGTTTTATTACTATTTCACTACAAGACCATTAAAAAAGCTGCGAACACATGTAAATGGCTACAAACCTCAGTTTTGCCATCACCATCAAAGTCACACAGTGCTAACGAACGAACGTTGTCTCCAGTAACCTAAAATGAGAAAGACGGTCCTTCATACTGATGATCACTGTCAGAAGCTAAACTAATTTCATGATCTCAAAAACAACAGAACAACCGACATAGCCAACATTCAAGCAACACCTGAGTGCAATGAATACATGACCAAAACACAGTTTAAGGTCTGAGATAAATTAAGAAAGATGAACAGCCAAATTAATATTTATCATAATAAAAAATTCAAGAGGAATTACAGCTATTGAAAGAATCTTGTAATAGTATCAAAAGCATTATGTGCAGCCTTACTGTCCAAAAAAGGTCATTTCCTTCATAATCAAAGCCCTGAAGGGCACAGTTTCCACCAATAATAGCAAGCGGAGAGGAAATATCTCCCAGATTCCCAAGAACTATTGCGTTGGCTCCATCTGAAACCTACAGATACAGCAAAGGAAAAAGAAACATTAGACAATGAGACGTCAGAGTACACAAATCGAAACAAGAACTTCCAACATTACCACTATCAGTTTAGTTGAGCTCTGAATGCCTATGAAATTTTCTGAATTTTGTCTTGCTACGTGATGTGTGATACATTATGAAAGCTTGCTCTTGCATGTGCATACACAGACATACATTCATTCATACATTTAAATATTCTGGGTATGCTAAAGGTAAAGTGTTCTGAATCGCAGACTGGTTTGGGTTGGAAGGGACCTTAAAGTTCATCTAGTTCCAAGCCCCCTGCCATGAGCAGAGACACCTTCCACTAGACCAGGTATGTAACTAATGCAAAGAACAGAAGCATATTTAGAATCATAGAATGATTAGGGCTGGAAAGGACCTTAACATCACCCAATTCCAACCCCCTGCCATGGGCAGCAACATCTCACAGTAGACCACATTGTCCATGGCTCTGTCCAGTCTGGCCTTGAACACTGCCAGGGATGGAGCATTTGAGCAACAAATAATTCATTGACAAAGGACTGTAAAAACTGTCATTGTTAGAATGGAAAGAAAAAACCCAGACATCTAAATTAACTCACTTCTCTGTAAAACAAATCTGAGTTGTTATATACATCATAAGCCAACAAATTAGTCTGTGTTCCAACCAGAAGACAATCATAACCAAGCTGAGGGTTCAGCAGTCCTGAAGCAAGACAACTGATCCCTTGATTAATGCTGAGAAGGGAGATGTCCGAGTCTTGGTTAATTTGCACCATTCGGTTTGTGCTTGTTCTCTGTCCACGGGCGTGAGGATTATGAATAAAAACCTGTAGTAACAAAGATACAAAGATATTATCACAAAGCACGTATGCATTTGTGTACCACCACTAAAGACTACTGTTTGGGTAATAACTGTGATGCGGAAGAGGGGCATTCACTGAATCAAAGCAAGGACAAAAGACTGACAATACTGACAGTTATGCTTCAGTTTAAAACTACACCAAAAAAAGGGAAATGGCAAGAAAAACGCTGCTCTGGCCAGAGGGGTTGTTGCCACCTTCTGAAATGCTTCTGAAAATGGCCACTGAGAACTCTTCAGTGGAAGACAAACTAAAAGGAGCAACAACAAACTAAGCAAATTATAGCCAGCTGGTAACACAGCTCCCAGAAAACCCCAAACATGTAGGACAAATTACCTGGTATCTTTAACCTCCATCTGTCGGTGAAGATGGCTAAAGAGGGGCCTGTGATAAGTAAGTTTTTGTTCTCACTGACCAATATTCAGTCACTGTAATTGTTTGGAGCAGACTCAGAGGACTGCAGCATAAGCTTAAAAGCCTTTGCTTTGTGGCTGTACAGTCCATCTCTCCACCATTCCCAAAGGCTCCAAAACAGAATTACTAACAATGCCAGGAAGCATCCCAGATCACCTATGTTTGTATTTACAGCAACCTAAATCCCACTGTGGATTTACGCTTCAGCCTATGTTTGGTTTTAGCTGGTCTACATTAAGCTGAACCCTCTGTACTTCAAACCCAAACAGAGCGCACACAGCGTTTCCTGCTCCCGCAAGGCACCCCTGCAGAACCTTCGCACCGTGCCTTAAACCCACAGCTCCAAAACATTCCCCGGCAGCCTGGGTTATCGTTACGAG